GACAGTAGGAGAGGGCTGGGAAGGTGGCTCAGTGGTAGAGTGCTTGCCTTGCATGCATGAGGCCCTCGGTTCGATTCCTCAGCACCACATAAGCAAAAAGAAAAAAGCCGGAAGTAGCGCTGTGGCTCAAGTGGTAGAGCACTAGCCTTGTGCTGAAGAGCTGAGGGACAGCGCCCAGGCCCAGAGTTCAGGCCCCATGACTGGACCCCCCCCCCAAAAAAAAAAAGAGTCTCATGGACTTTTCTGCTGGAGCTGGCTTTGAACCATGATCCTCAGATCTGAGCCTCCTGAGTAGTTAGGATTACAGCATGAGCCACCAGCACCCAGCCTATCACAAACATTTTGTACAGTAAAGTCACAGGGCTAAGATGTGGTCCCAAGGCAGAAATCCATCCCCCTTATCTCTGCTCCCTGTAAAAATAGAGATTTGAGAAATGGCAAGTTCAAGTCTGCTATAGGTTCAACTCCACTCAATTTGGGAAACCATCAACTGTCAGCCTTGGCGTGAGCTGTGGCACAAACAGCAAGGGGCCAGCAGAGGCTGTCCTTATCCCTGCTATGGTCTGGACCGTACTCTCCCATTGACACCTTACTTTAAGGGAACAATTCTACATTAATCCAAAACCCTTTGGGGAGGGTGGTACTTCTGGCACTGGGATTAACTCTGATTGATCTCCCCCTCGCACCATGTCCCATTCTGCCTCTGGGACTAGAGTCTCTAAGAACAGTGGCTTCTGCTTCTTGTCAGTGCCTCCCATCCTTCCTGAGATATTTCTATTTCTTGGAACATTTGCTCCCAGTCTTTGCCCTCCTTTCCCAGGGCTCTGCTCAGATGTCACTTCCCCAGGGATCTCTTAATGGCACACCCTGCAAAACCAGGATTCCTCCTGTTTGCTTCTGTGGCACCTATTGCTTTTTAAATCAACATTGACTATCTGGCTGTATTTACGGATCTGTTGCTACTTCAAGACAACGAGTTCCAGCAGATTAAGATAAGCATGAGTTCATGTCTAGCTGTATCCAATCCTAAAACAATGTCTGATACATAAGAGATGCCTAAGAATTGTACTTCCAATGCACAAATGAGGCCTGTACCCAGACTCCATCCTCAGGACTCGAACATTCTCCGACTCAACAGCTAACTCTATAAGCTGCCCCAAGTAAAGCCTTCTGGGCCTTCTCTTCAAACTGCTTCTCCCATGACACTCACTCCTTCACCACTCGGATGCCCAGGGAACGGGCAGAGCCAATGATGGATCGGACAACAGAAGACAGAGGGACATCCTGCAGGGCAAAGGCTTCATCCTGTGCTTTGACACGAGCAATTTCATATATGTGCTTCAGCGTCACCAGGCCGGCCACCTCTTTCCCTAAGAAGGAACAAGTCATTCTTTAAGTGTCACTGTTTCCCTCCACAATTTCCAGAATCTCAGGAGTCCATCTGGCCCTTACCTGTTTCCCGGGCCCCTTTCTCAATCCCAGCAGCTGCCTTCAAGAAATAGGAAACAGTGGGTTGTCCAATCTTGATTTCAAATGTCCTGTCAGGCTTAACCAAAAAATAAAAAAGATATGTAAGAATCACTTCGCTTTGCAAACTTCTAATGTCATTTTCCCTTCCTCTCAATTCACTTTCCCATGGTGTCCCTCACAGTCCACAAAAAAACCCACATGGAAAAACAAACCTGCAGCAAACATCCCCGCCACCTCTATTCCAGGTCTAACTCAGTAAAATGGAGGGACAAAGGGAAGAAAGGAGCTAAAGCACAACCAGATAGCTTCAGAAAAAAATATGGTTTAGACTATGTCTCTGGGGAAACAAGCCCTGTAATAAGGAGAGACTTGCACCTAGGGTGCTCCCTCCCTCTCTCCCCTGCACCTCTCTTGCCAGTCCTGGGGCTTGAACTCAGAGCCTGGGCACTGTCCCTGAGCTTCTTTTGCTCAAGGCTAGCACTCTACCACTAGAGCCACAGCCACTTATGGACTTTTCTGTGTATATGGTACTGAGGAATTGAACCCAGGGCTTTGTCCATGCTAGGCAAGCACTCTATCACTAAGCTGCGTTCCCAGCCTCAACGTGCTTAGCTTCTTTTATACAAGGCTGGTGTTTTACCACTTGAGCCACACCTTCACTTCCAGCTTTTTACTGGTTAATTGGAGATAAGATTCTTACAGACTTTAATGCCTGGGCTGGCTTCCAACTGTGATCCTCAAATCTCTACTTTCTGAGTAGCTAGGATGACAGGTATGAGCCGCGGGCGCCCTGCTAGAATGGAGTGTTTTAAGAAACCGAGGATCAGAATCCAGATTGCACCTTCACAAAAATCTTCGTGGGCAGAGGAATGCCTACTTTGATGTCCTTCGTCTTCTCGTTGAACTCCTTGCAAAACTGGCTGATAGAAACACCTCGCTGTGGGAGAAGCATAGAGGTTAGCGGCGGCGGGCGACAGCTCCCGCGCTCCCCGCCTTGATTTCTCCGGCGGGCCAGCTTCCCCCGCGGGGCGGGGCGCGTGCACCTCCCCGCCTCATCCTCCTCCAGGGAGCCTGCAGGGGTGAGCAGCGGAGCCGGGCCTCGCACCGAGGTCCCCCCGCGAAGCGCTCATCCCCCCCCCGCGCCCGCCGCGCCGCGTTCCCGCCACCGCCGCACCTGACCCAAGACGGGCCCCAGCGGGGGCCCGGGCATGGCCTGGCCAGCTCGCACGATGGCCCGGATCACTCCACCAGCCTCCGTCTTCTTGACGGCCCGCGTGACCCGGCTGAGCTTCGACATGACACACGGCTGTCGGTCTCTCGTCACCTCAGAGCGAACTGCCAGAGCCAGGCTCTGGGCGCCGCCATCTTGGGCCAGAGGTCAACGGTCCTCCCGTAAGGTCAACAACTAGCAGCCTTGTTTCGGTCCTTACCGCTCCCCAACTAGTGAGCCAAGGAGGCCTAGGGATTTTTTTAATTCTTCACAATTGGTCTTCTGCAGATAGTGAAAGACTCTGAATGGCTTCGGTGCACGCAACTTCCCAGGAATGTGTACAGGCACGGTCTCAGACAGCCCAATGGCAGTGGGCCCTTGATCCTCGCAAAGTATTGTGGGTATGGTAGTTTCGGCCCCTCCTGCAGGCTCTGTTGTTTGCCAAGGCACTAGGATGTCATCTACTGGACACAGTGAAAATCTAAGGTTTGAAATGAACTTGGAGCTAGTTAGGGACTGGGAGACTTTTTAATTAATTCATTCATTTTTAAAATTTGAGTCCTGTTGCTGAATGGTAATAAGTGTAGATCTTGGAAGCAAACTGCCAGGTTGCTGGCTGTTAATTCAATTATGTAGCTTCTTTTCTTTGTTGTACCCAGTGTAATAGGAATTATAATATGTACCCCCCAACCTCTCAGGAAAGTTATGAAGACTGGCTTTACTATTCTATTTTATGTGTGTATATGTGTGTATTTGGGTCTGTCTGTCTGTTTGTATGCATGTATATTTGTTCCACTCCTAGGGCTTGAACTCAGGACCTGGGCACTGTCCCTAAGCCACAGCCACTGCCGCCACCTCCTCCTTCTCCTCCTCCTCCTCCTCCTCCTCACTACTGCTTGAGCCACAGCTTCACTTCCAGCTTTTTACTGGTTAATTGGAGATTCTCTCACAGACATTGCTTCCTGGGCTGGCTTTGAACCTTGATCCTCATATCTCAACCTCCTGAGTAGCTAGGATTACAGGCATGAGCCGCTGGTACCCAGAGAGAACTGTTTTTATGAACAGTTATTTTCCCCCTACCCTATGAGGGATAGGCACAGAGATGTCCACTTTACAGATGAAGAAACCCAGATACTGGGTGCAATGTCACTTACCCTGTGTTCCTCTGGGCTGTGGCTATGATCTGAACGTGGCTTGCTCCTCCTAAACTCAAGTTGAAATTAAATTTCCATTGTAGCAGCATTAAAAGATGGGGCCTTTAAGAATTGGTTAGGACAGGAGAGTGCTGCCCTCATCAATGGATTAAAGCCATTATTGAGGGAATGGAATGGATGTGTTCAGCTTCTCTTCTTCTCTGTCTTATCTTCTGCCTCTGCCATGTTATGACATAGCAAGAAGGCCTTGGCAGACGGTACCCTAATCTTAGCCTTCCCAGCCTCCAGAACTACAAGAAATAAATTTCTGCTCTTTATAAACTGCCCAGTCTTGAGGCTGGGGATGTTGCTCAGTGGCAGAGTAGCTGCCTAGCATTCGAAAATCTCTTGAGTTCTATCCCCAGCAGCACCACCACAAAAATGTACCCAGTCTCAGATGTTCTATAATTGTAGCTCAAATTATGTTAAGATAAATTGCTAAAAATTAGTATATCAAAATTTGAACCTAAGCTGGGCGCTGGTGGCTCACGCCTACTCAGGAGGCTGAGATCTGAGGATCACGGTTCAAAGCCAGCCCTGGCAGGAGAGACCGTGAGACTCTTATCTCAAATAAACCACCAGAAAACCAGAAGTGGCGCTGTAGCTCAAGTGGTAGAGCGCTCGCCTTGAGCTCAAGAGCTGAGGGACAGCGCCCAGGCCCAGAGTTCAGGCCCCACGACCGACAAAAAAAAAAAAAAATTTTGAACCTAGACCATATGACTAGTATTCATGAACTTAACTGCTGCTATGTTAGTGTATGATTTTTTTTTTTGCCAGTCCTGGGGCTTGAACTCAGGGCCTGAGTACTGTCCCTGAGCTTCTTTTGCTCAGGGCTAGCACTCTACCACTTGAACCACAGTGCCACTTCCAGCTTTTTCTGTTTATTGTGGTGCTAAGGAATTAAACCCAGGGCTTCATGCATGCGAGGCAAGCATTTTACCACTAAGCCACATTCCCAGTCCTGTATTTGTATGTGTGTGTGCACATGTGCATGTGTGCTAGTGTTGGGGCTTTAATTCAGGACCTTAACCTTTCCCTTGGCTTTTTCCATTCAAGGTTAGCATTCTACCTCTTGAGCTACAGCTCCATTTATAGTTTTTATTGCTGGTTAATTGGAGACAATAGTCTCATAGAATTTTCTGCTCGGTTGGCTTTGAACTGAGATCCTCAGATCTCAGTCTCCTGAGTATCCAGGATTACAAATGTGAGCCACTGGTGGCCAGCTTTGAGTATGATTTTGAATATAATTATCCCTTAACCTATGGAAGAGTTTTATCCCAAAGACATATATTAGTGGGACTAAGAGGGTGGCAGCTTAATGTGACCATGATGCCTGGAGATAGATCCTTTGGAAAATTATTAAGTCATACCATCTGGATGTGATTATTACTAGTACTCATTTGCTAGGTTACATGGGCACATCACCTTGGAAAGGAACTCTCTAGCCAGCTGTATGGACAGCTGACACCTGACTGCCACCTAATGAGGGACCCCAATGTAGAACCATCCCGCTAAGAATCTCCTGTTTCTGAACCTCAAAACCAGAATGAGATACTGAATGTTTCTTATTTAAGTGGCTAAGCTTTCGGGTGATTTGTTGCAAGGTAATTTGCTAATATAGCTAGATACTGAGATGAACTTCTTCCTAAGCCTACTGCAGACCAGGGAAGAAGACAGTAGGAGAGGGCTGGGAAGGTGGCTCAGTGGTAGAGTGCTTGCCTTGCATGCATGAGGCCCTCGGTTCGATTCCTCAGCACCACATAAGCACAAAAAGCCGGAAGTGGGGCTGAGGCTCAGGTGGTAGAGCGCTGGTCTACAGCTGAAGAGCTGGGGGACAGCGCCCAGGCCCAGAGTTCAGGCCCCACAACCAACAACAACAACAAAAAAAGACAGTAGGAGATTGAGAAACACACACACACCTTACAGAAAGCTGGGAGCAGATGGACTGTCAGGAGCTAGGGGTAGAGGCCTTGGAGACCAAAGCAGCCCATGTCATAGTTCAGTGTGTTTATTTATACAGGCACTTGCACAAACAAAAGGCAAGGAGGAGCTGGGCACCAGTAGCTCACACCTGTAATCCTAGCTTCTCAGGAGGCTGAGACCTGAAGATCTCCATTCAAAGCCAGCCCAGGCAGGAAAGTCTATGAGACGCTTATCTACAATTAACTACCAGAAAACCAGAAGTAGTGAGGTAGCTCAAGTGGTAGAGCGCTTGCCTTGAGTTGAAGAGCTGAGCGCCCAGGCCCAGAGCTCAAGACCCAGCGCCGACAAAAAAGAAAGAAAGAGAGAGAGAGAGAAAGAAAGAAAGAGAAAGAAAGGAAGGAAGGAAGAAAGAAAAAAAGGAGAGAGGTGTTGTACGTGATAGGTAGCTCTCAGCAAAAGTTTGGTAATTAACAGGAAAAACATATGACCTTGAGTAAAGCTATCTGAGCTCATTAATTTAGCTCCAAGGCTAAGATATGAACTATGCCTTCCAACTGTTTGACTGTTCAACTGTTGCTGCCTCAGGTCATCAGGCAGAGATGACACGGTTCTGAACTGTTGCTCAAGGAACTCCTGTCTCTGGCTCCCAACACACCAATTCTCTACAAAAACAGGTAGCAGATGCCAGGCACTGGTGGCTCATGCCTAATCCTAACTACTCAGGAGACTGAGGTTTGAGGATTGCTATTCAAAGCCAGTTGGGATTAAGTATCAAAAAGCCAGAAGTAGGGTTGTGGCTCAAGTGATAGAGTACCAGTCTTGAGCAAAACAAAAGCTGAAGGATAGCACCCAGGCTCTTAGTTCAAGCCACAGGACACACACACACACACACACACACACACACACACACACACAGAGCCAGCCAGCCAGCTGGATTTGGCTCATTGGCTATCGTGTGTCTTGCCTGTTCTCCAATGACATTCTCTCTCTTGGTACCACACTAGAGTTTTAAGCTTTTCCCAGTTGTTTTAAATTTGAACTGTGTGTGTATGTGTTGATACTGGGGCTTGAACTCAGTACCTGTTGCTCTCCATTGGCTTTTTTGCTCAAGGTTGGTGCTCTACCACTTGAACCATACCACCACTTCTGGATTTTTGCTGGTTAATTGGACATTAAGAGTCTCATGGGGGTTGGGAAGGTGGCTCAGTGGTAGAGTGCTTGCCTCCCATGCATGAGGCCCTGGGTTCAATTCCTCAGCACCACATAAACAGAAAAGGCCGGAAGTGGTACTGTGGCTCAAGTGGTAGAGCACTAGCCTTGAGCTGAAGAGCTGAAGGACAGCACCCAGGCCCAGAGTTCAGGCCCCATGACCAACAACAACAACAAAAAAAAGTCTCATGGATTTTCCTGCCCAGGCTTGTTTGCTTTATTTATTTATTTGTTTATTTGATCAGTCATGGGGCCTGGGTGCTGTCCCTCAGCTCTTCAGCTCAAACCACTTGAGCCACAGCACCACTTCTGGCTTTTTCTGCTTATGTGGTACTGAGGAATTGAACCCAGGGTGTCATGCATGCAAGGCAAGCACTCTATCACCTTCCTAGCCCCCAGGCTGGCTTTAAACAGTGATCCTCAGATCTGTCTCTTGAGTAGCTGGGATTACAGGCATGCTGGTGCTCAGCCTATTTTATACTCTCTCTCTCCTCTCTCTCTCTCTCTCTCTCTCTCTATTTTGTGCTGGTCCTAGGGCTTGAACTCAGGGCCTGAACATTGACCCGGAGCATTTTTGTTTAAGGTTAGTGCTCTACCATTTGAGTTACAGCTCCACTTCCATATTTTTGCTGGGCAATTGGAGATGAGAGTCTCATTGACTTTCCTGCCTGGGTTGGCTGCAAACCATGATCCTCAGAGCTCAGCCTCCTGAGTAGCTACGATGACAGCCATGAGCCACTGGTGTCTGGCTCCTCCTTGCCTTTTGTTTGTGCAAATTCCTGTATAAGTAAGCACACTAAACTATGGTATGGGCTGCTTTGGTCTCCCAAACCTCACAGATAAACTCAGTCCTCCTCATTTCT